TATCCGGTCGAAACTAATCACGTTTCCTGGTTGCTTCCATTTATCACAAAAGCCGGACTGATATCCGACAATGAATACTTTCGTCTTGACATCATTTAAATACTAAAAGAGTAGAAACATTTCACTATAAACATAATTTTCCGTGCTCAATCAGACATATTTCAACCCTAGTACAATGAAAATGTTCAGATGATCTGTAAAGGCTAAGCAACTTACCTCACTGACTCCATTAGAACACGTGATGTTCGCCTGAGCATTGTGTGGATTTGATCTTAATTCATTTTGATTACGTCTACTGTTAGTTGACTGAGCAACAGCCGACGTAAGCATAGCAGTGCCAGACTGACCAGAATTTGAATTCAATACACCCCCTTGAAGTCGTCTACTAGCCACAGAATTTGTACGATGACCAGTAGAAGATACTGTGACAGTACCAGTAGTAGCTGAAATTGTTCTAGAAGTTGGGATACTAGTACTTGTAGTAGTTGTAGCTGAACAAGAAGAAGACGAAGTAGGTCGTGTCGAAAGACGAGAAATACGACTGGTTGATGTATCAGAGGAACCTATACCAACAGTAATACGCGCAGTTACTACTCTTCGACTAGTAGAAGTAGCCGCAGAAGAAGCCGTCGTTGTTGTTCTTGTGGTGGTGGTGGTGGTGGCGCTGGTGGTAGTTGAAACTCTTCGTGAATTCGTTGTACGAATCTGTCAATTGTATGAAAACAAACAATTCTCATTCCAAAATTAACACTTAATTGACACATATACACAGACAAATTATCAAAATCTTATCATTTCACCTTTTTCTAGTCAGTAATGTCACATTTCATGGCTATATTGTTTTACACATAATAATCGACTGATGAAAATCTCTATGATTCATTATATGGTAATTTAGAAACACAAATCGACGGGTATTTATTCACAAATATACACACGGTTATTCTATCGGAACATGAGAATTTCCTGCTGCTTTCTTCAACTCAAACAAACTTGTCGATTTCAATTGACTCTCTCCTATTGAAGGAGATCGGAGTACTACTCAAGGCATCATCAAGGCGTATGTCGTAGGACTTCATGGAGAAACTAATAACGGGAAACTCAAAAGTCTCGATAACTTCTAAATGATAATCGTTATACAAAAGTTGGCTAAGCAATCTTGTGAATAATTCTTTGCTGTTTGAAACGGTGGACGCTATGAGAAGTGGATGTGACGAATACAACTCGCTCCCAGTAATAGTTTTTATTGATAAATTCATCTTCATAACTCTCCATTGCAAGACGCATAGATGGATATGGTTGATAAGTTCAGAGAAAACGTGAGAGAATATCAGCTGATAAGAAGAACATCCACATCTAGAACATAAGTACTTCCAGGATAAACTGAGTCTTACAATTGATAAGATGTTCTCGAAGACACAAAACAACTAATACACTACATAGACAGGTTTTATCATTTTAGTCTGCTGAGCAACTGTCATCTAAGAAGCTGTACATCAGTGCATGCATTTGTCATACTCCAAGAGAAGTAACAGGAAATACTTCTATTCTGCTTAGATTTATTCAACTATCAGGGCTGATCAGTTGTAGTTTATGGGATGAAATCGTCAAATATTCCATGTGACTGAGCGTTAAGATTGCTAAGCATCCAGTCCACTTTAGCCTTCTCCAGGTTGTTTACACTTCGAAATCTGGATCAATCGATTCTCTTCATGATTTCCCACAAGAAAAAAAGTTAGGCTGGCATAATGTTTCTAACACATGAAGTGTATATGAGGAATGCATTTCAAACATTTTGATCATACACCCATTTGTCATACAGACTGAAACAAAACTGTTATGACAGACCGTTCAAATGATCACTAAAGTGAGAGTAATGACGCGCCCAACAAGTCATCTCATTGGTATTTAGTCTAGCAAAGAGCATAAATCAACCTCTGTAATCATGTTCAAACATAGGCGGGAATTTTATGCCTGAATGTGTTCACCTACTGTCTTCTGATTAACAGAGACACAATGATGTAGGGAAGATCTTCTGGGAACCGATTCAATTACTTGAAGGCTAATTTCACCACCTCGAGAATACTGTGTAAAACTAATCTAAGTATCCATTTACTAATTTACGATACCTGGTGTTCCTTGTCTTTATGCGAAATACACATATGTGGAAGTAAAGGCATATATAAATGCATATATTAGTCACGAATACAGAAACGATGACGCCACCGAATGTGCGCTCACTCATGCACAGCCATGAGACAACATACCTGTTCCTGAGCACCTGAAATGGAAGCACCCAGTCGTGGACGAATGGCGCGTACAGGTGCTGCTGCTGCACTTGTTACACTAATTCGCTGGTCCCTTAGACGAAGATCAGCAAGTCTCAAGCGATTTAGTCCAGTCCGAACTCCAGCCCGACATTTCGGACATGTCGTCGATTCTCTCAGCCAAACGTCGATACAATTCATGTGGAACGCATGACCACAAGGAAGATGTCGAAGTCGATCATAATTTTGATATTCATCTGGATGTAAAATACAGTAGTTAGTTCTATTAAGAAGCACCACATCAAAATGAAACAAGTATATCAATGACATAAATCAAGACTTTCGGAGTGCTCATGATACCTCGCGGAATTCCTCAGGTATCATCACATGTCTAAATTTAGAGTCGATTAGGTATTATCACCAAATAAGTGTTTGTGGGGATATAATTCTCAGCTTCCCATGATAGTGGAACTTCAAAGACTTTTGTGAAGATATGAAATCCTTAAATCGATGGCGTTGGATGAATCCTTTCATCTCTTAATCTCCAGTTAATTACATTCTATAACGCATCAGTGATTATCCTTCAAATTATCCTTTGACTGTGTGAACTACTAAGGGTGTTATGCATTGTCCAATGAATTACCTCACTGAAGATGAGGGTAAATCTGACTGTCCAGTCCCAAATCGGACGAGATCCCGCGTCCAGGAGCCTAGTGCTAGCCGTCACTAACTGAATTAATCCACCTCGTTAATCTGTCATGAAGAGCATGAGCTACATAAAAATAACCAAATGTTACTCAGTAACCACTCGCTGTTGGCTGCAATCGACAATGAGCCACACCTATTATGTGACACAACCTGGCTGTCCAAACGTCAGTAGACGGCGTAGGCTCAAAGGAGTCCCGAAACGACATTTCATGATAATACAGGATATCGTTCATTCGAATAAAAAAAGATTATGTCCAATTCTACTCTCCCTATTTAATGTTACTATAATCATTCTGATGAAACTGACTGTTTTTCGATCTGCAAAAAGGTGTCGTTCACCCACAGTAAACGAAGGATATGTCGATCGTTAACATAGGCTGGGAATAAAACATGTGCAATTAAATATTAGAAAGAATGAGTGGATAAATTGCGAAACTCGATTAATTAGTCCTTCATAATCTGCAAACAATAAATGACGATGGACAAGTAGAAGTATAACAGCCTAAGCCACACTAACCTCGAATTCAGAGAAGCGAAAAGTCGTACAACCATGACAAAATGTTTAAAAGTACATTGCACACATGATATCATGCTGGACAACTGTCTCCTATGTGTTGTAGGAAGCCTTCCCATTTACACCAAGAGTAACCAATACAGAAATCGTACCATGCTCCATAAGTGTATTTAGCCAGGTACTTTCGGATCCCTCGACATTCCTTACTCTCTTCTTCAATGAACCTCTAACCCTGAACCTGGACAGCAAAATGTACCTTGGATTTAAGTAGAATAGTGTACCTAGCCTCACCAACGGATTTTCTCTCGTAGCATGATTTCATTTGCAATGAACTTTCGTAGCATCCCTTAAATGAAATTCCTTCTTGAAGGTCAACTTTTGGCATATCTTCACATTGGGGCTGTCATACTTCGAATTCACAGATGAACAGTATTCAGAAATTTTTATTACTGTTATTATTATTGGTACTGGAAAACCTCTTCTGTCATCTTATATGAATCTTTGACTTTACAGTCATTTTTCATGACCTTTCATAATACTATTTAGCTCCACAGCTTTGTAATCAAGTTGAGAAAAAAGCATTCGCTCATAACTTATGCCTCTATTGTGGTGTGAAAATAGTCAATATTTTTCATAAATAAACCCACTGACTGTTACGTAACTTCAACTTGAACTGTCTAATTTTGAAAATTGCTAATTTCATGGGTAGTAAATTTAGGCTAAAAATAATCACACTTATTTTTGTCAACAATATGATGATTGGTAACTGTGGGATTACGTAATCAGTACGGCCAACTTCACGAGATTATTCACTTCATTAACTAGGAAGTAGACGGATGACAATTTAAATGACTAAACAGATATCAGTGAATACAACCCAGTAGATTTCATAAAGATACGGATCAATAAATGACCTTTGTCCTCACCTGTGTTGTAGATCAGTGGTCAGCTTTGCATTTCCGTTAATTTGTAGAAAAAGTGGTCAGAAAATTAGTCATTCTATCAAAAGGGCATGACCTGTAGTCAATTAGTCTAGCAATGTCACAATAATAGGCCACAATGAGATATCACATGAGTCATTCTCTACTTGGAAACAAATCAAAATACCTGACGAAATTAATCAAGTAGATGTAGGGTGTAAATTGCATCAAGACAAGAAAAAGTAATTCAAGCAATCATTGAATATAACTACAAAGACAGCGCAACTTCATTATATAGACATAGTGAGATCGCCCTTTACGATGACTAATCAAACGGTAACTGTCGACTAATATATTCAATTAGGTACACGAAATTAACACAATACACAAAATAGCTACAAGTGACTTGAGAGTGCTGTCAAAACTCAAGAACATGTGCATATTGAACTCCAATCTAATCGCCTTCAAGCCTCTCCATAGGAATAGGCATCACCTTACTTTAGTAGATATGCAAAGTCGGCTGAATTACAGTTATGCATTTATCCAATTTCAATTATTCTAAATGGAATAACAAAGTTGTCTTCAACTTACTCAGACATATCTCACACTCAGGTCGACCCCTTGACGGCGACGACTGTATGGGTTGAATGTCGAAGAGCGTGGCTGATTTCGACTCAGGCTGTAGATAAGCGGATCCCGGTGACAATGATGTACTGCTCTGATTTCTATTTATTACCGGAATACACGTCGAAGTGTTGGGTGAGCTAATGAATGAGTTAGCTGCATGTGCTTGATCACTGTTGGTCGGTTCGTGCCTCTTGACCCTGTATATGCTAACTGGCAGTTTTTCTAATTCACTCATTCTAATGAGTCCAGATGGTTGTAGACGTGTCGGCGGCTCAGGCGAGAGTTGTCCACGTGTATTTGAGTCGTACCACTGTAGTCTTGACCTATTGAATACAACTGGATCATCATTGGTGTGTCTGGAATTAATTCAGTAAAAAGATTTCACAAATCTTTAATATACCTCACTTAACATTAGAATAAATGAAAAGCTGATACAGAACAACGAATTGACAGGACCTCACATAGTGCAACATGTATCAGCTGTTATTTGTTTTCAAGTTAATTTGAATTCTCCGTTGACTGATAATGTTAAGGCGAAATGATTCCCTCTATTTGGGAATTATTGTATACATACATTCTCCCCACCATTATTACAAGCATCAAACAATGACGATTACACAGCATTATAATACGCTCTTCCTTATCTATAAACTATACGAAACCATGATAAGTGCCCATTCTCTAATAGTCTAGGTGTATAATAAATACAGCAGAAGATTGAAATTGATCTGTATTAATTAGCCCTTGAAATACACCGTACATGGCGAATCTCTTCTCCGAAATACTGAGAAGACAGCAGAGTAGCCCGATCAAAAGATAATAGTGGAATGACATTGTCTGAATTTACAGTCTCATCTACTTGGCCACAATAACAGGTAAGACAGTGAAATTGTCTATGTGGTTCTGGTTACGATTTAGTAATGGACTGAAACCAACATCCGACACAGAACCATAAGTTCACGTTAAATACCTCCAACTTCTTGAAGTCGAGCACAGCATCATCTACACAATTCCCTTGAGTTGAATACACACATTTAAATCTAAGCTACAGGCTACAGTCAGAGTCGAGCAACAGGATGAGATAGACCCTGGATACCACCTGGATGGTTACATATTGCACATGCTTGACAAAATCTAATTCTAGATGTTTCCTTACGAATCATCATTTCAAATGTGTCATCAGTTGTATTCGTCAATTACACCAAAGTACTTCAGAAATAAACACCACACTTTGCGTTTCCTGATTAGATGCATAGATGTAACAATTAGCATAAGATTTCCAACGCTGTCTGACACACCGTAAAAATACCCATCAAACTACCGTAACCGGATGCTTCGTTTGCACTGACATACGAATATGAAGATTTAAATTTGTCCAGTGGAGGACTGTATGCAAAATCATATGGAGAGGGTTGTTTTTAAAGAACCTGAGGAGTCTTTCTCCAGTTTCCAGATGACGACTGTCAAGAAGTACAAATTAATATGTGTTGTTCTGTTTATTCGATAGCTTGAAGAGTGAAATGATGTTTGCATAAGGAATCTTCAGGTCCACAGAAATATTTCACACGTTTGATTTGGATGCTAGTACACAGGGATTAAACATTACGAAAAGTGACAATATTATCATGATGAAATTAGCTAGAGAAATTTATACCAGATACATATTTAAATGGTGTACTCACACTGCTGCACCGCCTAGTTGATCAGACTTAAGTCGAAGACTCGGGGAACACCAACCACCTGCTCCAGTCTGGGCGCCTTGGAAGTGTCTCCCAGCCATCGCACAAACTACGAGACTGTGTGTGGAACATGTCTTGGTACCGATAATGTACCACATTAATGTTTTAAAACTAATAACCCACTTTCAACACATAAATAAAGTCACACAGTAATAAGTGTATTAGGAAAAGGGCTAAATTTCAATGTATCAGTAGACAAGCTGAAACCTGAGGATGTCATCCCTAAACTAGAAATAGCACTAAGTGGGATAGACAAAATAACGGCTGACGAAGTAGGGGCACAATGTACACTAACATTAAAACGACAAAAATGAGGAAAGCCTAACTTGACAAAACCAGAGATAGAAGCCCTGAAACAACTTAAGAATAACAAGGATATAGTAATCACAAACTCAGATAAAGGAAATGCAACAGTAATATCAGACAAATCAGACTATTTGGACAAGATGAATACTCACATACAAACCATAAATCAATAGACACCGTTATGAATGAGGTTAAGAAATCCACAGCGGACCTTATACGTCGAATGAAGCCGTCTCAAGGTGAGTCTAAATGGCTTAATTTAATGTCTAAAACTAATAACCCCAGTAGGATGTATGGTGTTGTTAAAGTCCATAAGTCAGGATACCCTATCACACCTATAGTTGATTTTAGAAATTCACCTACTTATCAATTGTCTAAATATTTAGCCATGGTATTAAATCCCCTTAAAAGCCCTTCAAAATCTAGACTAACAAACTCTTATGAACTAAAACATAGATTAGATCATTTGAAATTAGATAATGAAGAAAAAATGGTTAGTTTTGACATTGTCAGTTCATATACACGCATACCAATATATATGGTTGTTTTAGAGGCAGTCACAAATGAACTCATTTCTGACCAAGAACTCGAAATTAGGACAAAAGTACCACTTGAGGACATAATGCTGAGAGTACAGATATGCTTGACTTCCACAGTATTTAAATTCCAGGGGAAAATATACAAACAAACTGAGGGAGTTCACATGGGGTCACCAATATCCCCGGTTGTGGTTGATGTATTCATAGATAGGTGGGAAAACATGGCGATTGAAACATTCAGCCCAACCTCAAAAGTATGGTGAAGGTATGTAAATGACACATTCACTGTACTTAGAACACAGGACATGAATAGATTTTTCAAACACATTAACTAAAAGGTGGAGCAATTCAATTCACTTATGAATTGGAAAATCAGGAAGAGGAGCTTCCAGTGTTAGATTGTAGCGAAAAAAGAATAGAAACTGGGAGGTTAAACACAAGTGTTTACACGAAACCTGCACATTCAAACAGATATTTGGACTTCCGATCATCCAATCCTATGTCAGTGAAGATAGGATTGGTGAAATGTTTAAGTGACAGAACACAAAAACTAAGTAGTACCAAGGAAAATCTAAGAGATAGGAAATGAGGCATATAAGAGAAGCTTTGAAAATTAAAAATCACCGTGATAAACTAGTCAGAAAGTATGTAGGCAAATGTAAAGATAAAATATATAATGATAGTAGTGATAATAATAATAATGACGACATGTATGTCAAACATGTGCCAGACAACACCAACAATAAGGAATCTAAATCATCAGTAGTAATACCATACAAGGAAGGAACCTCAGAAACCTTACTCAGAATTCTTAACAAGGCGGGTATAAAAGTGGTTAGCATTCAAACCCACAAACTCAATTAGAAACAACCTTTGTCGGCTAAAGGATCCTGTGGAGCCGTTATAACAAAACAATTTAGTTTATCTAATACCATGTTATGATTGTCAGGTCAAATACATAGCTCGAAGCGGTAAAACAGAGGCAGACAGACTAGCCGAGCATAATAAACCTAGCAAAATCTAGATTAGTTGACCCAAATAAGATAAGAAATCTAGAAAATAGTTCAGCTATAGCACTACATGCAATTACACACAACCATACAATAGGCTGGATGGGATAGGATGACAGTTTTAAAATGTAAAATAACAGGGTGTAGGGAGAGATTGAAAACAGAAGCTTTGTTTATCGAATCAACTGCAAATACCTGTAATACCTGTGATTCAACACCTGTCCCAGATATCTGGAAAATTCTACTACCCCAACGACAACAAATAGGAGAGAACAAAGAAGACTGTAAAACTCAAGTTTCGAAGTCGTGTGATTATAATTGATGGCATGATTATAAAGAATAAATTTTGTTCGAAACGTCGTCTGGTAAATAATACTGTTTCACTTTGTAATACGGTGCGTCGGTGGCATAGCGTTTAGGACGCTGGCCGACCATGCACATCGCCCGGGCTTCGATCCCCGGCCGACGTACTCCTCTACCTCACTAAGCCAGATATAATGCTGGTAAAGAGGAAAGGTTGGGCATGAATGTAGCAACCCCATCCTGTAAAATAAACACTCCTACAGAAGCTAAAAGCCACTAGCTTGAAGCCCTATGCTCCACTGGGGAAAGTGAAGGAAAAAGAAGAAGAAGAAGACTTTGTGATACATCCAATAAACAAACTAATATAGAATTACAACAGAAATATTGCGATAATTTGTTAAACTCAAGGAGGAACTTCTGTTCCCTCAATCTCGTTCAAAATTCTCTATCGCTAAGATCACATTTCATGTGTTCTCATGAAATAAACACCAGTAAAGCACAATTTACGTGAACACAAGAAGAACTACCCATCAATGAAAGCCAAGGCAGAAAACGACTCACTTTGCTTTCCTAAGGACCCAGAACTCCTATTCATCTACCCAATACGTTGTGATTTTAGAAACTTCCAATGGTATTCAAAATTGAAGTTTAATCGCTATCCTTCTTCAGTTTCTGTACCACAACTGCGTTATCCAATGCTCTTTCAGTATTCCTCAGTTTACGCTACATATTTTGATAGCGACAATCTTTTAACTACGCACAGACACCTCTGTGTTGCCTGGAACACATTTTTCATATATAATATAAGTTAGATATATTTTGTCAGGACTAATGATGCTGACTAGTTGTCCAGACTCAAGTGACAGGAGTGACATATGAACCCGCGATCCATTCATCAACTGTTAGTCAAGTGCTTAATTCAATGGGCCACAGAATCGTCTATAACAGACCTATACACTATATACACAAATCGAAGGTGAAATTGTTGTATAATGGGTGTACTGTTTAGTCAGAGAGTGGAAATTGTAAAACTAAACCGTAAATAGACGCGCTGACTATTTGTTTTAAAATTTATTTCATTCCCTTGACGTCCCAGTGGAGAATACGGCTTCAAGCCACAGCCTTGAAGATTCAGTGCAGTGATGTATTTTACGGGATGGGGTTTCTAGCCTCATGCACAACTTTCCACCTCACCAGGATTACTACCGGCAAAGCGAGGTAAAGGAGGACGTCAGCTAGGCAAAATGTCAAGTTGTCCGCTAATATGTACTCCCAAAACCAGTTTGTAAAAGATTTACAAGAATATCATAAAACAATATCAACCTATTCATGCGCAAGTGACTGTGATTATCGTTCACAACATGTCTATCTAGTGTAACTCGCACATTATTCCTCTCACGGGGCATTCTTTGGACAACTGGGATGTGTGAAGTACCCCTATAAGAAATAAGGAGGAACCATATATTAAAAATCACAAGTTATGCATACACAGTTAAAGTATATACCCATAAATATCAAGTGCAGGTAGTGGCAGACGTCAGGCACTTCATCAACACATTTTCATTAGCTATCAAACCCCTGTAAAAGCACAATGAAATATTTCGAGAGGGATGACTGAGAATGTGTATCTTCATTTGATGAAGAAGATGTCTTGTCTACATATATTTTTGATTAACGTGATGTTCAACTGCACCGGAAACTTATACTAGCAGTTCACTTAATATTAGTATTATCATGTGTCAAACTTTAGGTCTTGTTTCACCCTAACCACTGACTGAAAAGAACGTTTCAGTAGTAAATTAGGAGAAATTCACACATCTTTTTATAATAGGAATACCCAACACTCTCTAATCCATCGCTAGATTAACATCATTTACAGAGAACGTAGTCGTTGAAAGTATTCCGAAATGAGGTGAGAAAATTTTGGACATTATTATACGCACAAGGAGGACAACAGCCTTTTCTGTTGGTTGGAGAACCCGTTCATGTGAATCACAGGGAATACTGAAAGAATGAAACTTCAATAAAGTGTTTAATAGTTAGTCTGAGCCATGTGGATGAGTGGGGTCTGCGTGATTTGCATCCTCGAGATGATGAGAACTGATTGTTTGAGACTGTCGGTGATATGGCTCAAAACAGTTCTCAGTTGTCCAGATTCAGATACACTCCATTGTCAGAAGTACATATACAAATTTGCTAAGAGAAAGCAGGACAAATGATTCTCAACGAATTTTGTTTTTGGTGTGCAACATTGGAAATTGGTCCCATAATTTCTACTCCCATTGACTACGGAGATTTCGACACAATATAGATGAATGATAAACTTAAACCCAGACAAGCATGCATGGCAACAATAGGACACTTAGTTTCAACTTTATCGGCACGAAAATCCATCAGATAAAGTAAGTATGGTGCCCTTCGTTAGCTATCAGTTCATGCTCATATGCAGTATCATTAACTGAATGTACTCACCACTGGATATTTAATAACCATAGAAGTCACATATCCAACGTTGAGCAATGCTCATACACGAAGTATTAAGATTAATGTAGTTACTTCAGAGAAAGGGCTTGTTACTTCTCATCAGTGCGAAATATTGAAAGGTAGGACACAGGTTCTGGGGAGGAGGTGTTATCACTAGGTGCTTTAATATATCCGATACATGAAACCAACCTAAATGATGTACAGTAACCAAGTAATTCCTCTCATCTGAATTTCTATGTGTTTACGGAGTTTACAGCCTGTAAATGAACAAAGATAGCCTCAGTTATCACACACCGAAACTCATCTTTTTACTTCTTCACAGACTTCCTCGTCTTACTCCTCTCACTACTTGAACTATAGCTTTACACTAGCCATTAAAATCAACATTGGCTATCGGATTTCAAGATGTCATTCAATAATTGTTCCATTAATTAAATACAACAACATGAATGTTTAGGACCACATAGTCGGTTTATCACACATGAACATCACAATAATTGGCAGTAACATGGATGATCACTAGCAAAGAGAAATATACGAATATCCACTGAACATTATTTCATCCATTAGGTGGCGTTCCGACGACTAACAAATTGTTAGATGAAAGCATTCTAAGTATTCCTGCTTCTAGGAGATACTAGTCAGCTGACTTTAACCACGTGAATGACATATAACTAAGCGTCTCAAACGATGAACAGCTTAATAAAGTATGAGGTAATCTATTTAGAACCAATGCGTTTTGTGGAGAATTCTCTCAAAAAGATGGATGCTATTGAAACCGATGGTGAGAAGGCTACAGGAGTAGTGATAAAAACTGCTCACGTTATACGACACTCGATTAACTACTAAACATATATAGGAGACGTAATCTAGAACGATCGACAGTTTGTCTCACTCACGTACTGCCTCACCTCGGTTTACGCTTCACACATTATAAGCAACAGACTCCGACGTGTCCAACTAAGAGCTAAATACAGCCACCGGTGGACGAATGCAAACCGAATCATGGGCAAACAAAAATACTTGCTAGACTGAAACACAGGTCCTAACTAAGCAAAGTAGAAGTTGTATAGGAAACAGGTTTTTGAAACGATGAAGCCATAGTCCACACTCATACATATTTTAATGCATTAAAACCCAAGCTTACTATAATGCTGAGTTAAATCTCACTAATTCTGAAGTAATCCTAAGATTCTCTAGTGAGCATATACTGAGTCTGTTCTAAGTATTTTCAGGAGTAGATCAAAACCTACTGGGTTTGCTCATCAGCGTTGTTCCAGTCCCCACAGGACATATTAAGCACGGACTAGCGTTATAACGCTAGTATAATTCAGAACGAAAAGACTTAATTCAGCACCCAGACCTCTTTTTAAGCACGACTAGCATTATTTCAGAACAAAGTGGGTAGATAAAATATTCATTTGCCATAAAAAGACATTGTCGACACATAGGTTAGAATAATTATTCTAAACTTAAGTTTAGAATTGTTGTGAGCTTCGGAATATAATTAATTACTCACCTGTGGTGAGAAGGATACAATTGTCGTGGATGCATTGCTGAGTCGAATATTTTTCGTCTCACTCTTCAAACTCTTGGTGTACCTGCTGGGCCGATCCCTCGTGCACCACGCGAAAGTAACTGACGTCGGGTGTGCTGAAAAGTGAATTCCCCGCGATAAACCACGAAAACATATCACAAGGAGCACCTTGTTTCACCCAAATACCAATTGAACAACTCCAAAGTGTGTGTGTAGTACGTACACTGAAACAGTTCTTACTCAAGGTGATGAAAGTGAAAACATTATGTGGGAGACTTCTCCGTTCATTTTACATGATTCTGGAATATACGTAACTCGTAAGATAGTTCTGCTTTTCAGTTCTGATCACTGTATTGTACGAGTCTTACCCAAAATTTACGAAAAGCTACACAGTAAAGCCTTCTCAAACTTGTCTAAGAAATTTGTTTACAGATTTTACGCGAACGAGAACGTACGTCATCTTAGAAACATGCTCAGTGACACAAGATGGGATCTGTTTAATGATGATTCACTTGATGACAATATCTCTAATATTACTTCCTATCTAAAATTCTGTTTTGAAATCTGCTGTTCAAAAGAAACACTATCCGTTAAATTTGACCGTTTGTTCCCCCCCCCCTCAACTTAAAAAGCTTCGTAGAGGCAAGGAAAAACTATATAAGATGAAGGATCAAAGTGGTGTAAAAAGGACTAACTTCTTAATTAAGTCTGAAATGCATAGGTTGAATGTAATATATAAACAGAAATTCATATCCTGCAAAAACGCTCCTAATAAGTGGAAACTATTTGAGGAAATCACTGGTGGTAGGCAGATAAACAGTATTCCGTATTCTTTTGATGTATGTACTCTTGATAAATCTTTTATTTATTTCCCTTCAAATATCATGCTTCCCAGCATCACTTGTGTTAATAATAGCCCATTTCCAGGTTTTAACACAAATGATGTTCAAAAGTGCCTCAAGTCTCTAAACCCTTCCCACAGCTTAGGTCCAGATTATGTAGCTAGTATTATTTTTCAAAAATGTTCTGATATTCTGTGTCACCCTCTCACTGATCTATTTAACAAATCTTTTTCCAGTATTATTGTGCCTGTCGTTTGGAAGGACATTAAAGTTGTACCCCTACCTAAATCATCTACTGGAGCCTGTGTCAAATTTAGACCCATTCCTATTACCTCTCCTTTTTTGAAAACTATGGAGAAATTACTTTTACTTAGTCTTGTGACTTCGCTTAAATCCTATATTAATATTAATTAATATTAATATTATTAATCAACTTTCCTATAAGCACAGTAGAAGCACTTTAGATGCAGCTGCCGTCTTATATCATATCACTGCTTCCAGTCTAGAAAATGGGGCTAAATTTGTTCGTTGTGCCTTCCTAGATTATATGTCTGCTTTCGACAATCAAGTGTCATAAACCGTTAATGCCCCGCTTTTTCAACGCTCGACCTCACGATGTCACTGGAAGACCTGCAGAAACAATTGTTAATAAGCAACAGGATATCCAGAACACAGATTGAAGATTCGAGAATCCTTTATTCTTACTCCAATACGTATTAAACAATAAGGTTATTACATACAAGGTGTTTGGTGGTTTTCCTTCTGCCAGTGAATAGCGAACGATGAGAAGATGACTGCAGTATTAGTGAATCTGGCGACAAATATGGAGGAGTTGGGTTTGAGCAAACAACCATGAATTGATGGTTCAATCTTCAAATAATCCCCGGGAAAAATGCATCCATCCCTTTTTCCCTTCACGACCAATACACGTTGGCTTGGATGCAATTGCGAGAAACTGGGTCACATGGACAGAGCTGAAATGGAAAACAAACAGAAAAGTCAACACACCACAAGCATACTCACAGCACAATCTCACTCACTGATGAAGACCTACGCCTCCAGATAAAGGCATCCTCTTGACATCTTGCAACACAACCGCCACTCGCTAGAATGACTCTTGCAGAATGCAACGTGACCATGGCAGCACCTCACGATACTCTACACTCATCCTCTTATCTACTCACTACCAATAACCACTGCAATCGCTTGTCACTCATTCTGCCTCAGTCCTAGTAACGGTGGCGTATGCAAGCCTCAGTCGTCTACACTCCCGCTCCCCGGCGTGTGGGATCACAGCTAACAATTACCTCCGTATGCATTTCATTCTCAGCGCTAGCCTAGCCTCCCCGGCGTATACGACCCGTCTGCTGTCTGTAACATCAATCAATTCATTCACGGATGTAGAGGATCAGAAACAACTTCAGAAGTGAGCACGACGAAAATTTTAACAAAATTACGCAATAACAACAAGGTACGAAAACAACGAGCAAACACAATGAATCCAAAAAGCACCAATTGATATGACAAAGCACACATGTATACAAACAGTACACACAAACTCGCGGGTCATATCTTGATGGAATTCCTTTGAAGAGTCGCAGGACTTACACCAGTACGCCTACAACCCTTCTCAGGTTGACGATTGTAAGTTGTGGATTGTCCGGACACACACAAGATTAACCAACAATTACATCAATTGGAACTCACACAACTATTTAACACAAACATATGTACAATCAACACATCAAATGTTGTGGATTCTGACACGACAAACTACCCTTGAAGAACCGTAGGACTTACAGCAGTACGCCTACATTCCTTCTCAGGTTGATGATCCAAGTGGAAGTCGTCCGGACACAAACAGAATTACCAACAGCTAGATGACAGATGATATCAATTCAGCATATACAACATGAACATATGTACAAAATCACACACCAAGGACATTGGACTGCTCATTGATGCGCTACCCTTTGAAGAATTGTAGGACTTACAGCAGTACGCCTACAACCCTTCTCAGGTTGACTCCTCAATTTGGAAAATCGGCGCAGAGTTTATTTGCTGACTTTCCTCTATCAGCTATATCCTCAAATCTGAACGGTAAAACTCTCATGTCATTGTGTCGTAGAATATAGATGACGAACAAACATGCGACGTATCTGGTCAACCAAGCGTAGGCACAGAGTAATTTACACCAAAGATAATAGCATTCAAATAGTAACTTGAAACTAGAAATGCCTTTATTCATGCAGTCGATTTAACAATTACTCTCTCGTTTACATTTGGCTTATCCTCACTAAACTGAGCAATATCTTTCGTCTTTTCAAATGCACCACTACTATCATAGTCATTGCACAAGATACTGGAGTTGATGGGCGTCTGTTTCATTGTGGATGACAACACAAACGACGACTGATTGATACCAGTTGATGAAGTTAGCGGTGGATCAGAAGCTGTTGTTGTTTGGCTTTCAGAAAGTTGTCTAACTGCAAGATTACCACCACTGCCGTCTTTCACTATCAGCTCCGGTTTAGCACTAGCATCTGATGATAGGTGGGCTACACGCTGATCAATTACACTGACGGTTTCACAAGTATCCATACCTTCTGCAACTGCATCTGCATTCAATTCTACTTCACGTTCAAGTTGTACAGAACCTTTATTAAACTTAGCAGTAGTAGGCATTCCCCCCATTTCATCATGATCAACCAAAGACAAATGTGCACTATCATGATCATTATCACGAATAATCACTTTACCGTTAATTTCAGTATCGCGGTACATTCAACCTTTGCGTTGCAATTTTACGTGATTCGTCACATAAAATTTATCTTTTTGTAATACTTACACAAGTACTATACTACTTCCATACCTGTAACCATTAACTCTCATTTCTAATGGTTATGGTTAATCAAAGTAAAAAGCAACGAACCCAATCCCCTGTAAATCTGGTGACTAATTTAACTTTCTTGATTGCTACATCAAGCAACACACACCTTACAAACCGATATAGTGTGGCACATAACTCACTTGTATGCCATAACCGTCGAGCTGGTACTGAGAATAAAACTGTACTATCAGCTAGTATCAGCACTACTCCTAAAAATTCAGTAACCTCTGCTCGTACAGTACCGAAAATGCCTGACTCCAAGGCTAACTGCCTTAGGCGGAAGAAGAGTCAACGTGAGAAGTGTTGTCCTATACGTTTCCAGTTCGAAACACCGGCAGAGACCAGAAAATTCATCCACTCCCAACACAACCTATCGCAAGCCAGAAACTACAAATGTATAAAGGTCGGGGTGGACGAAACAGTCATAGAAAGGCGCGCATACAATTATCTCGCTAAGCCTAATTGTGAACTAAGTAATAGTGTGGTGAGAGCAGGCTGCTAGCCGATTGGTTGACACTAAGCTACGTTAATATGGGCCGTGAGAAAATATGAACAAGGCTGAGTCAACAACCAATCACAGCAAAGTTAACGTGGCAAAATATGATTCGCAGATAGAGAACTCTATTTGTCAAGGAATCCCGAAACAACCAATGAGATGACTGCGCTTGTCTATAATAATGTATGTGAAATATGTATAAATACGTGTTGATTTTCATAATAAAACGATCTGTTGCTTCGCCCTTGTCTTCTGTTGTTACATTTGGTGTCGCTGCCTACCGACAAATGAAAAGCCTATACCCTGCAGTTTTTGATGGAGACATATGGATCTTCGGGCAGGACTTCAAGGCTTCTGCGCAGTTGAGTGGCGTTCAAGATCTGTCAGCGATGGAGCTGCTACTTGAGACGCTGCTGGGAGGTCGGGCGAAAGCAGCATATGAAAGTGTGGGCCGAAGTAGGGACGAATGTTCGACAGGGTCAGGCAAACAGTTTCCAAAGTGGGAAGGACCATATACGGTCACTTCGAGATGGGGTTACGCAGACACAGTCGCAATGGCGAACAATGAGAGGCGCGTGAACGTCAGCGAGCTCCAGAAATGGATATGGCGAGACAAGCCAACGATGACGCCTGCACCAAGTAGATCAAGCCGACTTCAGTCGCACAGTGATTTTTAATTTTCAAAGCTTCTCTTATATGCCTCATTTCCTGTCTCTTAGATTTTCCTTGGTACTACTTAGTTTTTGTGTTCTGTCACTTAAACATTTCACCAATCCTATCTTCACTGACATAGGATTGGATGATCGGAAGTCCAAATATCTGTTTGAATGTGCGGGTTTCGTGTAAACACTTGTGTTTAACCTCCCAGTTTCTATTCTTTTTTCGCTACAATCTAACACTGGAAGC